ATAACAGACACAAGAAGTGTTTCATCTGCATATCGGGATGTGTCCAATGGTTGCATGAAGGGAAGCTCGCTTATGCAACCAACCTCTCTCTTCCCTTCCTCCCCCTGCTGATGCAAGCTCCTTAAGACCAATTTCCCTCTCCCATTACAGCCTTATAATACAGCCCCCACTGTATTAGCTGTGCATGGGGCCTACGGCTATAACCATAGCCCAAATCACTGGAAAACCTTTTGCAGATCTTTCATATAGATCAAAGGGGGGGGGGAGCCCCAGCTGATGGGAGCTGCAGACTGACAATACCTTGTAGGGAAACAGGTTCCCCATCCCTGATGTACATGATGTACACAGGGGAAGCTTGTGGCATCCTACAGACAAAAGGCCCCAGAGGGGTGGGGACAGAACAGCCATCTTCCAGCAGTCTTCTGGGGCTGGCTAACCATTGTAGAACAGCATTTTGCAAACCTTGCAGGCAGCCCAGAAGGATACCATGGTTGAAATGTCACTGTAAGTGTGGTAAACATATGCCATATGAAATTTGATTTTGGCTCATTGGCAATGAAATTGTTTCCATTTTTGCATAACACAATGCTCCTTAGAATTTGCTTTCTGCTCAGAACTAAGGTTTTATTCATTCTAAGGCTAAACATGAATTTGTTCTCAGAAAGTCACAGGCTTTGCCTGTTAGGAAATGGTGGAAGAATGAAAAGGGGACAGGAGAGGACTGTTGATCCTATGACCAAGTGGGAGTTCCCTCCACAACTTCTATTTTAAAAAGAAAATGCATTGGTTCAAGTATGGCTGAGTATTTTTCTATGTTTTGATTTTTAAAAATTGGAAGAAATGTATATAAAAATAACTACTTGAGCTTGTCTTAGGATAATGTTTCTGAAGTCTCAATACTTAGGTACCTAAACACCTCTAACTTTAACTTTGGTCTTCAAAAAAGTCTTAGCATTCACTGATGGTTAAAAACAGCCTCTTTGTGAAATTTCACGTTGCTCTATTTTATATAGATCCTATAAAATATATGCATATCTTGTGACCTATTACTCTTTCTTTTCAAGATAGCAGTCTACTTTTAAATTGAGTTTTAAAACCCATTATGAAGGTTTGAACACACAATTTAAAAGCAGACGACTATCTTGAAAAGAAAGAGTGGTAATAGATCACAAGATATGTATTTCTCTTTTTCCTTCTGCCACATTATAGTTTCACCTATTTAGGTCACCTGAATCAAGAATAATGTGAAAAACACAAAACAAAAGGGGGGGAAATCAAGGAAAGAAGGTAGAAAACCATGACAGCAGTGAAGATTTGTTATTCACAGGTGCAAAAACATGGAAAGGAAATTAAAATGGTTAAAACTGGAGATGGTTGATATAGAACAAGTTCCTTGAAATGCAGCATTGGCTAGTTATATTATCCTATAATTCTAAAATTACTGATGCAAAAATAGACAGTCTTCCACATGTTATATGTGTGCAGCCCATAGGATGATATACTGTGCCCTTCTACTGCCATTCACATAATGGATTTCTGTTCACAGAATAACTCGGAGGCAGCCACCACAACTGCTCCAATTGAAAGGTAGAAAATACACAATTTATTCTAAGGATCTAACTAGACCACAGCTTTCTGCATTCCTTGTTAGGTGCTATATTACAAAACTAGGAATAGGGGAAGCATTTTCGGAATGACAGGTAACTTTTAACTAGGGGACACCATAATACTTAAAATGGTAACTGTGCAGATCTGATGTCCACACTGGTTCTTTATCAGTTCCTTGCTAGCAATATAAACCAACTGGGCTGCAGTGATCCAAGCAGTACACACTGTTCCTAAAATGAGAGCTGCCAGGACATGCTTACTGCTCTCTGCTTCATGCGCCAAACCTATTTTTCATTGCAAGAAGAGGAAAGGTACCTCGTCCTATCTTGGCCAAGACACTCCTGTGTTCTTTCATACTGTGGCCTATGGTTATCCTTGCATGTGTGGTCCTTTCCCAATTGTGCTTATTCCTACAACTGTACCAGCTATGCTATCAGCAGAATTTTCCTCTGAAACAATATTCAGGATGGCTAATCTACAAGGCATTTTAAAGCAGTCTTGGGCTCCTGATTTCTTTCAAAATCTTTCTATTTTTATACTTTTAGAAAAATTAAGGGGACATGTCTGCTGCTTCTAAAAGATCGGAAAATATAAGAATCTCCAATGTTGAAATTTCATCTATTATTTGCTTGGCTGTTCAGCAAAGCTGAATGTCAGAAAACTTATGTATCTTTCATAGCAAAGTTTTGGGGAATTGTTGTCTGGCAGTGGTTTGAGCAGTCAGTGGCAACACAGAATGCTAGTTTCATTTCTAATGTCTACAGATGTAATTCTGACAGCTGCTATCTTGGCAAACTGTACATAATTTTCTACTTTGGGGGCTGGAAAATGGAGGGAGCATGAAATTCCTTATTCAGGCTGCATTCTAGGAGCAAATGCTTTGCCCTGCAAAAAATACATCCAAACCTACTTAGCAAGGAATGACAGCGGCGAGTTGCCTTACATTTACACATTTTATAGAAGCAACAAAGGCTGATACCAAGAGACTTCAAGTAACCTCTGAAGGGGATGTGGATGGAAATGCTGAAATACACTCATTACAGTTATCAGTTATTAGAATAATGGATACAATGGGACAATTGATTTTAGTGGCCTGAGCATTCTGTAACTGCCTCTCAGACATGCCTGCAAGACATACAAAACAGTAAATTTCATATAATCAAAATATTTCCTTCTACACGGCCCCAGGAAATTCAATGCAATTTGTATGTTATTAAAACTTCCAGCAGTTACAAAGGAATGCCAACAGTCCTCACTTGGGCTACTCGCAAAGCATTTTAAATGTGTTTAAAATAGTATTTGTAGTGGTTTGTTTTTTTAAATAGGGTACTCATAGGTACTCCTGCCCACCTAGCAGTTTGAAAGCACATCAAGTGCAAGTAGATAAATAGGTACCACTCCAGTGGGAAGGTAAACAGCATTTCTGTGTGCTGCTCTGGTTTCGCCAGAAGCGGCTTAGTCATGCTGGCCACATGACCCGGAAGCTGTCTGCGGACAAACACCAGCTCCCTTGGCCTATAGAGTGAGATGAGCGCGCAGCCCCAGAGTTGTCCGTGACTGGACCTAACGGTCAGGGGTCCATTTACCTTTACTCAAGGGTACGCAGTACCAGCATCTCTTTTGTTGTTTTTTAAAAAAATGTAGCACTTACTGTAACAACTTCAGGGGGAGTACCAGCACCTATTTTTCTAGAAAAAAACACAGGTTTGCAGTATAGTATATAGTGAGCAAGTATAGTATAGTATATAAGTGAGCAACTCATAATGGAATCACATATTGCCATGAGGCTCGCTGGGCCACCCTGGGCCTAACCTGCCCCATTGGGCAGCTGAGAGATTAAAATGCTACCCTAAAGTCCAAAGTGGAACCGTGGGCTAAAAAATATAAACACTCTATCAATAAATGGCTCACCGATCAATTTCCCAGTTGTGTTTGTACGTAAAAAGAGGCTTTCGAGTCTTGCTTCCCTCCACTTACAGGAACATGCAGAATAACCTATGCTGGGTGACAGGCGGTGTAAAATCTTTTAAACGCAGTTTCTAAAACCGATGCAGTTGAGTCTTATTTTGCACTGGGCAGGTGTAATCGGAATTTCACACCGAATCCAGCTATTGGCTTGCCTCGCTCTGAAGCCTTTCCTTAGGCTTAGCTATAACAATGACATCACCAGCTCAACACCCATTGCAACATCTGCTTTCACACTACTAAGAATGCCATTGTATTAACCAACAAGAGCTATGACCATTCCTTTTTCCTTTCCTTTCTTTTTTTTCTTTTTTGGTTAAATGTTAAACAGATGTGATGGAACAATTCAGCTCTGTCAAACTCCTTTTATACAATGCCAGTATGCTGAGATTGGGGCTTTAATGGTGACACATTTATTTTATATGGAATAGTAACATAATGTGACTATGAAACGTGAGGGGGGGGATTCTCTTGCCAATAAATTCTCATCTCCATGCACAGTACTCTAACACCTCCTAGCTGTTCCAAACCTTATTCAAAGTCAGAGGCTGTCATAGATTTACCTGCAATAAGCAGGTTGCATTTTTAAAAGGAAACCTGGCAGGAAATAAAGTCCAATTGTACTGTTATTCTACATGCTCTGCACCACCACGCCTCCAGAGACTCATGAACTTTATGCCAAGCAAAAAAGACTTTAAAATATCTGTATTAGAGTCTTACTGTCCTTAGAAAGGATAATGCATTGTTTTTACTTGCTTCTAATTAGTAATTTAAGCATATGTTCAGCATTTAACTCTAAATGTTTGCCTTTTCCCCAAGCTCTGAGACAGCTGTCCAAGATGTGAATGCCAGAAAGCATTTAAATATCAACATCTGTTGAATTATGTTAATGCAATGTAATATAATTGGGCATGAGTTGGAATTGATCAAAAGTGTGTGAATTAGACAAAGGCAAATCTAAACCAATATTTCATTTCACAAACAAGTCAAAGGTAACAAAACTGTGTTTGTTACTAAACCAACATGATTAGAGCACAATGTTCAGGACGCCCAGGTCCAAAAACGATATAAAAACGTGAAAAGGCAATTATAAAAGGAATCAAATATAAAATATTATTGCAGAAATAATCTACCACTAGTATTTTGGCCTAGGATTTCATACACATTTTTAGAAACAGCTTGTCTTACAAAACACCAATTAAAAACAGGCTTTATTTTATGGTAAGGAACAACTCAGAACAGTTGTTCTCAGACTAATAAACCACAGTTTAATAAAACATGGTTTTGCGTTTTGTGTGAACCCTGCCCAGCAGCTTAACAATGATTTGTTTACTGCTAAAATACATTGGTTTTAACTATGGCTTGTTATTACATGTGAACACAGCGCCATTCTTTAACCATGTTGCTTTTTATCCACCTCACCACAGAATATTGTCAGGCTACAAAGGCAAGAGCAGCTGGAAAACACACCAGACTTGGGAGAATCAAGAATTATTTTTGGCTGTGGGAAAACTTGTGCTTCCTTTTGTGAGACACATTATGTAAGCACCAGCTCTGTGAGTACAAACTGAACCGGAGTATACCCCAATGCAGAAAAGGAACTGTGCTTAAATTAAAATGTCTAAATTCTTAGTTGATTTGCAGGCATGCTTATACGGCGGCCTGAATTTTTGTTTCTGCTTGCGATGTCCTCTTGACGGAGAAACAACCTTGGTTGGTGTATTTTAAACTATGTGCATTTAACGTTGATCTTTTTTTAAAAAAATTAAAAATATATATTATTAGGATTCAAATATATATATATTCATCATTCTCTGGAAAGCTGTTTTTGTTTAAAAAATAATAATTCAGATTTGCAGCAAGCTGTTATTCAACTGAGCATTGTTGTTAACAGCATTTTAGTTAACGGCAGCAACGTATAGGAAAGGAAAAGTCTGCAAAAGCTTTGCAGCCCACTTGTGCAAAAGGATCAACTTCACACTGACTTTACAAGGGGTGGGGAATGCACTTGGGATGTTGATCAAGCCTGCTGCATAACTCAATGAAAAAACCTGCCTTTCAATGAAAAAACATTCTTGTCAGTGACATGCTACTATGATAAAGTTCTGCACGTGTTCTTAATTGGCCGAGTGCTATAGAAGTGTTAATTCTCTGTGCTTTCCTGCTCAATCACCCTCTCCTCTTTCCAACAGTTTTAAGCAACCTAACTTAATAAATGCACCACTATTAAAAAAATAATAACAATTAAGGTGGTAAGCCTGCATGAAGCATTTGGGTTAATATTGTTACCAGTGGATCTTATCTCACAGAAGCTTAAGCATGAATACCAGGACTGTTAATAGGCTTGGTAGGAACTTGAAACATATCAGATTACATCCAGAGAATAAGTGACAGTAGAAGGTGACTTTTCCAGCCACTTCCTGCTTCTCTGGCAGCCTCCCCAAAACCCATTTCAAAGGGTCAGGTTGGGCCCTGTGACCTGGTGGTGGTGGGCAGGCACTCCTGAAAATCAGGTGGGGACATCTTGTGTGAGGAGAGCTTTTGCTCACAGAAGGTGCCTCTGTGTGATTTTTTGCAATCCCCTCCCCCCTCAGCCCACCCTATTCAGGAGCCCCCCAGTGCTTAGGGGGTTGATGTGGGGAGAACTGGGAGAGGAAATCAATTTCTGCCTTCCTCTTTTGCCTGCCCCAAACTGGACACAAACCATTGATTCCCAAGAATTTAGTTTTCAGTGTGCCAGTTGCTGCTAGAATCCTGAAACTTTCGATTTTACTGCTTTTAAAAACAAAACAAAGCACTTAATTGATGCAGGTAAGGCAGGAATACGGATGCGGGTGGCGCTGTGGGTTAAAGCCTCAGCGCCTAGGACTTGCTGATCGAAAGGTCGGCGGTTCGAATCCCCGCGGCGGGGTGCGCTCCCGTTGCTCGGTCCCAGCGCCTGCCAACCTAGCAGTTCGAAAGCACCCCTGGGTGCAAGTAGATAAATAGGGACCGCTTACTAGCGGGAAGGTAAACGGCGTTCCGTGTGCTGTGCTGGCTCGCCAGATGCAGCTTTGTCACGCTGGCCACGTGACCCGGAAGTGTCTGCGGACAGCGCTGGCCCCCGGCCTATAGAGTGAGATGGGTGCACAACCCTAGAGTCTGGCAAGACTGGCCCGTACAGGCAGGGGTACCTTTACCTTTACCTTTAAGGCAGGAATGAACAGGAAGCCTTCTAGCCTGTATGTTGCTGTTTCTTGTGGTTGAGCTACTCATGGTTATAGAATGAAAGGTGAAAAGGGCAGCATTGTCCCCTGAGGTACCAGCATTATTCATCATTTCTTTAATGAAATTATTAATCAGCCAAAGCAGCTTACAGATCCTCTCAAAACAAAACATTACATTGCCTGCTTTTAGGCTTATAGTCTAAAAGGGCATGACACAAAAGGAAAAAGGACTGAAAGGGAGGAAGAAATAAAGAAACTCAGATGCAAGATCTTAATTACAAGCTGCACTTTTTTCTGGGGGGGGGGCGCAGGGGTACGCAATTCCCCTAAACATTTTGTGAATTTTTGTACTTTTGCCCATTTGCTGCATTTATTTTTCCCAATTTGAACTATAAAATGGTGGTATTCTTGAGTCAAAATGAGAGTACCCCTAAACATTTTTTTTAGAAGAAATGCACAGGTTAGAAGTTATTCTAACTAGCCGATGAGGTAGAAAAGTTGAAGGAAGGAAGGAGTCAAAAACTGTTGGAGTCTCGGTGGTGCCAGTGAAGTGGTCTGGTACCACTTCTCTAGCTTATTCTATTGCAGCCGGTTGTACCTGCTGCTGCCAGGTGATTGTGGCAGAGGGAGAAGCCTGGCTTCTTAGTAGGGTTGGTGGTGGCCCTGCATCCCTTCTCTTCCCTCTTCTGCTACAAGGTGATGCAGTGTCTGCTAGCAGGTGACAGCTGAGGAGGACTCAATCCTCTTCTCCACACCATCCCACCCACTGGTTTCCACACATGCTTCCAAGTCTGGCTTTGGCGTTTGCTTCCTTCACTCTCTCAGTCTGCCTGCTTCCTAACTTGCCTGCCTACTTCTACCCTGCATTCCAGTCCCCTTCAGTTGAGAGCTCAAGTCACCTGAAATTATCCTGCCTTTGGGTTGACCCTTCTGTGAGCAGGAAGAACAAATAGCTGTAATTCTTCCTTAAACACACACACACACACACACACACACACAGCAAGAAAAACATTCCCGCATTTTGCCATTAAGGTATGATGCTCACTTTGTATACAATCTGTTTCCACCTTTTTGGGGCTGTCATTATTTCCCACAAAAGCTACATCAAACAATTATAGTTCTGGTAATTAACCAGTAAGTGTAATGTACAGTTTTCCTACCCCAATCTATTAACAGCTGCTCAAAAAATGTGGTAATTAATGGTTTCATTTATTTTTGGCAAACCTGCAACACAACAAATAATTTCCTATCTACCGCAAATTAGGACTCCTTCCCAAACAACAGATGACGTGGTGGGGGAAAGGGAGCAGGCGTAACACTTGCACATCTTTGCCTCTTTAGAAGATCAAATAAAGAGCAGCTGTAATTCTATTTGTCACATCTGTGTAACAAAATATAGTCATCTGTATCATCAGAAGAAAATGAACAAGCTCCGTTCAGATGGAAAGGGATTTCCCACCAACCTAATGGGAAAAGGCTTGCTATAGAGGCATAATGGAACTTTTTGTTCTCAGGTCCTCCACCGGTGTCCCTGAACCACCCACCCACTCCCTTTTTACATAACCTGTAGTTATTAATACCAGAATTTAAGATAACATAAATATACACCTATAATTTAGTCCAGATATCATCACAATAGTCCCAAGATCAACTAAGCTAGCTGTGTTAAAAAGAAAATGAGAAGGCACAAGATGTATTTAAACAAAACCCTGCAAAAGATTACATTTCAAATTAATCCCTCATTTCCTTCAATACTAACTCAACCTACCCCTTGTAAGAGTTTTCAGATTCTTCAGAGAACATTTTTTTATAAAAACAAACAGACAGACAGACAGACAGACAGACAAACAAACAAACAAACCCCAATGATGTTACTTTGGCAAACAGATGCACTGGAAGCCAAGAAATCCATCAATTTTTCCATCAGTCTGTCTCATTTTTTAATATTGTGAAAAACAAAACAAAAGGGAACACTTGAAATGCTTGTGGGGAGAAAGAAGAAGAGACAAGCAGATACATTGCTTTTTTAAATTTGGGAGAGTGCAAGTCTTCATTTTAAACTCAAGTTCATGATGCGTACAGATTACAGGACACCTTTTCCAAGTGGGAAAATCATATCCACATCATGATAAATGGACTCTAAGCAGCATAGCATACATACCAGCCCCCTTTCAATACAAGGTATTTCCAACACAACTATATACACGGATATCTGTGTCCAATTGATTAACACTTTTCGGACCCCTTTTAAGAGCTTCTGTGGCAGACAGATAAAAGCTGACCAGACAAAGAAAGCATCTCTCTTTCTGTCTCATATCAGCAGTTTGGGTACTAGCTAAAAATATTGGCTAGGGATCTCACTTAAACTGTAAACTGCATTGCATATTTAGCTCACCTGCTAGCTGTTTTCACTGAACTGTTTTTCTTGTGTCCTCTCTCTGATCGGTTGTCCCGCAGGAGTTGAAGCTACATGGAAAGTTCAGAAGACATATAAAAACTATGCAATGATGCTTGCATTTTTAGAAATAAGTCCTACTAAGCCTTGTCATGTTTTTGTACTATGTTGTTTCAGCAAAGGGCCTGACAGCCCTGACATACTTTATCTAAAGTGCATCTACTGAAATGGCAATACGATATTACCTACATTTTAATTCAGATCCTCTCTCATTTATTCCTATACGCCTTCTTCTACAGAGGCAGTCTTGTATTATAGTAAAGTTTCATGTCAAGATGCCTAATTAGCAATTCAGAGCGTACTATGCCATTGCAATATGTTTAGCTTTAAGATGTATCACAGTAATATTGTAACTTCACCATCTCCTTTAATTTGAAATGAGCAGCAACAGAGCTTTGTACTTAGAGGAACCGATTTTAGAGGCTCACATTCAAATCTCTGAAATTACTGTTTTATAAACTCTCTAAAAATGAGACTAATAAGGACCTGACAGAACTGTTGTAAGAATGAATAATGATTATAGATGCTAAAATTCTACATTATTAGTAACAGAAAAAAGTAGCACCTCATAATTACTGTTGTCATATCAATCCCACTGCTTTGCCATTATTTCTGGATTGAGAATTATAATGAAGTTCAGTAAGATTTTAGTAATGGGCTGGGTTGGCATCCCCGTCTGTCTTGAGAGACAATGGAGTGCCCCTCCAGGGGTGAAGTCAAACTGTTGTGTTAGCAGCACCGAAATGACCTCCCCGAGGCGTAAGACTGGGCGGTGTGTATGGCGGTCCTGGGCTGCCCAGACAACAAGACCCTCTGCCTCTCAGCTTTGCTGAGGTGGTCCAAAGGAAAGCAGAGCAAAAATC